GCCAGATTATACACTCTCTTCCAGGAACTGTAACAGCATAATTGCAGTATAAACCATAAAGTGGTTTTGTAGGTGTCAAAGAAATGCAAATGTGCCTGAGCAGGCATCTGCAACAGGGATTAGCTAAACATCCTAGCAGATGGGCATACTTTGAAATGAATGGTTTGCCATTACCTCGATGTTTAAATAAGATCTTGTTTTTTGGGAGGTGGGAAAAGTATAAGGTGAAGATTAATGGACAAAAATAGATGATTCATCAGTTTGTCTCATGCCAAGTTTCTTTTAATATGGCTGCATCACGTTGAAACACTAGTTCCCCATATGGTCACCAAAGTTAAGCAACATTGAGCCTGGTTGATACTATGATAGGGGACTGCTTGGATGTGCATGTGGTGTAAACTTGGATGTGCAGGTGGTGTCATGGATAATAATTTGGAATTGTTAATCAGAAAACTGAGTTCCAATTCCTGTTGGCTTTGTTATATTCCCTTACACGTAAATACCGTTGGGATAGGTATGAATCCACCTCTTCTCTCTCCAACTATGGGTTAATTAGTAAGACTAGTATCACAAAACAATTAAAAAAAAAAAATCTTACAATCTAAAAATATTTTCTGACTTCAAATAACTGGCAACGGTTTGATAAGCTGTAGAAATTGAACCAATCCAGTTTCCTTGATTAGGGAAATTCCAGATACCATAGAATGGTTAATCACTCTAATCCTAAGGAAATTCCAAGAGATTCAGCACAGATAGATTGTTCCTAGTTTTTAGTTGAGATGCAGTCTAATACTGAAGCTTATCTTTTGTACCATGCTTGCTGATGAGAAATCAGAGAACTGAGTTCCAATTCCAGTCAGGTTCATTATATTCACTTATGTACAAATATCCTTGGGAAACGTATGATTTCAACCCCTCCCCTCCCCTCACCTAGCAGAATCTGTATCTGGAAAAATAATTATTCTAAAAAGTTGTTAATGCAATATTCATTGGGTGGGGGGGAAAAAAAGGAATAGAATTATTCTTAAAATCTAAAATATGTTTTGGGGTTAAATGACCCACAAAAGGCTGATTAGCTGTTAAAAATCAAAATGAATCAATCAATTCTTGCTGATACAAAACAACACTTTCTCAACTTCATTGTTTCAGATAAATGTTTCAGTGCCTTGTTGAGTAAAAATGTCTTCTCTGTGATTAGTGTCTGGCTTCCTTTCAAGCAGACTTCTAAAGTTCCGGCATTATCTTTTTGAACTGACAGCTTCTAAAATCTGATTTTTGGCAACAAGTAATCTCTTGTAAAACCTCAATGCCCAATGAGGTATCAAGGTAGGCAGCTATAGCATATATAAGCTAATTCTCTACAATCATAGCAGTCTTGTAAAATAGCTGTATGTCATCCATTGGTAAGGCAGACCATAAAAGATGGAAACATGAGAGAGAAATAAGGAGAAAAGAATAAAAAATCTCTTAAGAAAAAAAAGTTTCATAATTATGAAAGAAAGAAAAAAAAAATTTGTCATTTTGAAGACAAAGGTTGTCATTTTATTAATGGGGAATAATCTTTCTTTCTCTTTCTTTTTCTTGTGTCAAAGGCAGTATTTTTAAGGAGTAAAATTTTCCATGGGGATTATTTTCTTTGCTGTTTTTCTTCTGCAGAATGCAGGGTCATTATTGAAGAGGTTATTTGCCTGAAGAGCTAGCCTTTTCCTGTGTATTCGGTGCACTTCACTCCTGGGGTATTGCGCTAAAAAATTATTGATGTATGCAGGCTTATTTAATAAAATAAAGACTTGCAATAAATTTATTTTCTTGTCAATTGATTGCTTCTTTAGAACATTTATCTTTTTTTTTGTGTGTAAGTGGGAAGAAAATCATGTGACTGTGAAATGTCTCATTCCAGAATATTCAGTAGCAAAGGCTATTGTGAATTTATTCCTCACCAGGTACCCAGGCACAGACCTTTATGCCTATTCATACAAAAGTTTTCGAAATAATCATCGACACGAAGAAAGAATTCTGATTTTGAGCGGGTGAGAAATAGATTTCAATAAGCATTTTTTTATTTTTTGTTTTTTATTTTTTTATGACCTTTCAAAAATTTAAAGACTTGAATTATCAAAGGGTCCAGTAGCGGTGTTAATAATTAAAAGAATACTAGTTATTCTAAGTAATTTCACTTGTTAATTATGCTGACTTTTTGTGGTTCTACCTAGGATTGAACTCACTTTCCTTGGCTTATAAATTTCTTCAGATATTAGACTCTTACTCCTCAGCTTAATGGACGTGTTCTAAGCAGTTGCAGTAGTTTGTCTCCATTCCTGCCAAAATGGATTTAACCTTTAGGCATAATTTAAGTTTATTGCAATTTCTCCTCAGGGTGGAATTTTCGATTGTTTGGTGAAGTGCTGTCACTCTACTGATCAAGATCCTATTTTTAACATTTAAAGGCTTGAATTATCAAAGGGTCCAGTAGAGGTGTTAATTAAAAGAATGCTAGTTATTCTGAGTAATTTCACTTGTTAATTATGCTGACTTTTGTGGTTCTGTCTAGGATTGAACTCACTCTCCTTGGCTTATAAATTTCTGAAGATATTTGACTGTGTTCCAAGTAGTTGCAGTAGCTTGTTTCCCTTCCTGCCAAAATGGATTTAACCTTTAGGCATAATTTAAGTTTATTGGAATTTTTCCTCAGAGAATATTTTTCTAGTTGTTTGCTAAAGTTCTTTCACTGAGTTAATTAAGCAAGATGATGTCTTAACATCACTAATTACCTCAGTACAATTTGATATACATTCAGCCTTTCCTTAATTTTGTATATAATATATATCCTCTTTAAAGAATATCATGTTCATACAGTTTGTTTCTAATAGATCTTGCCTTTCTTTAATTTTGTTTATATTTTAAATAAATCCTCATGAAGAAATGACTTTATTTGTTGGTAGTTTCTATTCATAAATACAGGGTGCAGCAGAAATACCTCCCACATAATAAGACATTAGCTCAATGAAGATACCATTGCCAGTAATGTTCTACCATTGTAGGAGGGAGGGGTATTTCTGCCATACCCTGTATATAAAGGTGACCTGTCCCACATGTTGTGATTTGATTATTACTCAGAATAAATAAATCATATTTTATTTTTTAATCATTTCTTGTGATGTTTATCTCACAGAGAAAACTTATCTAAAGATTTTCAAACTCTTATACCATATCTTATTTGAAATAGAAGTATGTCCATGTTTATTTCAACAGGACTAATTTTAGATTTCTTCTCTGTATTTTTTTTCTGTAAGAAATAAAAAGACTATCTTGTCCACCATAAATATATCTTTGTGCTATATAGTCCATCCAGATACTTGTATGTAACAATTAACATTCAATAGATATATTTTTATTGAGCAGACAAAACATGAAAAAAAATTGTTCTGATTAAATCCTGTGTGTGTGTGGAGGTGGGGTGCTGATCAGAAAGTAATTCCTCTTATTTGTTTCCATGGAAACTAATATATACAGTTTTAAAAATTTATTTCAATTGCCTGATAAATCATGATTGCTTATTCGTTCCTTTTGTAAGCAATCATTTTTACAATTCATTTTATACCAGCAGTATAACTTGTCTTTGACTGGGTCTTTCATTACTGGGAATTTTTTGCATTCATTTGGAGCAGTTTAAGTTGAAAGTCAGTCCACCTGAAAATCAATATTAGTAACAACATTTGGGTGCAACTGAGACTGAATAAGGTGGGGGGGGGTCATCCTGAAAAAGGAACTGTAATAAATATTATTATTGTAATAAATTAAACTATTTTTATTAACATTTTATGAAAGATATATATCCAAGAACAGATAGTAAACAGTAAAATGTTGCTGGGAGTTATAATGGACAGGAAGTAGTGGAGAGCCATTGTCACCAATAATTTGGGCTCAAAACCAGCACTGAAGAATTATCTATTAAACAAAAAGAAAATTAATCAAAATCAGATGAAAACTGTGGAAATGCATAAATAGCATCTGATCTCGCACATACACACACACACACACATTTTGAGAATTATAGATAGTAGAAATTCTATTCTGAGTGTTTGGTTTTTATATGCTTGTCAAATAGAAATTAAAAACAAAGATACAGGCTTCATTATTGGTACCATTGTTTTCTGCAGCATTTGTTGTAATTCTGAATTTTGGTTTTTAAAAAAAAAAACAAATAAAAAACACAACAAAAAACATAAGCCTACTCTTAGACTTATATTTTCCATGTTTATTGTTTATGGAACTCTTGTCACGCTTGTCTTGTTCCATTAGTTTTGATAGAATAAATTAATAAGGGACAATGATCAAGCTCAAATGATTTCATGTTGAAATTTAAACCCCATCTCAGAAGTTTTGTTCTTCTCTTATAGTTTATGCAACTATAAATCAAGAACTGAATTTTCTGCTTGGATTAGCTGCATACTATAAAGAGCCTCTCCCTACTCCTGTTCATCTTCCATCCAAGTTGTTATAATTGAGTGCACTATTGTGTCCATTCAGACATTTAGAGTTCACTTTGGAATGACGTCCATTCATACACACATTGTTCAACAAGTCCATCTCTATGATTTATCATTAGTTGTATTTGCACAATTTGACTGTCTCTCCAATTGAATTTTCCAATTCTTTATGTATGGCACTAGAGTTGAGGGCAGGTTAGAAAGTAAGACAGTTTATCCCTAGATAAATGAATTCTTGGATTAAGGTTTGTTACTGAAATTCATATTAAGAAAAAATTTTCACAATTATTAGTTGGAGAGGTTCTCCTGACTGAGAAAACATAAAGAAAAACGACTAGATCTGTTTGCTTAGATTTTTAAAAAATATTTTTTTTTAAATAGTTTGGAATTATCTCTCATAAAAGAAACATTAACTTTTTTCAAGTTGGATTAAAAAGTTTATTAATTTGACTAAATATGATTATTTTTTAATTTGATGCTATTTTTTTTGTTTTTCCATTTTTTCTTTAGATTTTGTTTGATACTTCTATTTATTTATTTTTTTACTCTTTTCATTTTTGTTTATTGTTTCATTTTTTCTTTGTCATTTTTCTTGTGCCTTTTCATCTTTTTTCACTTTCTCATTTTTTTCTTTTTTCACTTTTTCTTGTTTTACTTTTTATTATTGTTTTTTTTCTTTTTTCACTTTTTGTTTTTTTTTTTTTTAACTTTTCTTTTCATTTTTCACTTTATTTTTCTTGTGTTTTTCTTTTTTTTTAACTTTTTCTTAATCTTTTTTTTCACTTTTTTCTTGTGTTTTTTATCTGTTTTTTTTTTCCTTTTTCACTTTTTTTTTTTTTTTGATTTGTGTGTTGATGTTTTCCATTTTCTTCTCATCTGTTTTCTTTTTTTCTTGTCTGTTTTTTTCTGTTTTCACTCAGGTTTTTGCTTTCTTTTTTTTTCTTTTTTATTTCTGTTTTTTGCTTTTCTGTGTTGGGAAGGCGGAAGCAAATTTTTTTACCATTTTTTGTTCTCTTCTGTTTTTGCTTTCTGTTTTTTTTGGTTTTTTTTTTTTCTTTCATTTTTTTTTCTATTTTTGGTTTACTTTTACATTTTCTTTGTTTTTTATGCATTTTGGTTTTATAATTTTTTTGTATTTTCTGATTTTTTGTTATATTTTCACATCCTGCTTCTTTATGCTTATTTCTTTCTTACCTGTTTTCTGTTTCTCATGTTTTGTTTTCACATACATTTTTGTGTTTTTTCAATGTTTTTCTTCCTATTTTTATTATTCCCCCCCCCCCTTTTTTGGGTGGGTGAGTGTTCCATTTTTGCAGTTTTGTTGGTATTCTTCTTTTCTTTCCCTGCTTAAGATGCCCTCTTGATGCTGGCAACCCTGGCCCACCAGCCATATATCTATCAGAGGCCTACTAGCATCTACCTACTAAAATCAATAAACATTTTCCAAATGCATCACTGCAATAGTATTCAAGGGTTATATATATATATATATATATATATATATATATATATATATATATATATATATATAGCTAGCTGTTACTTGTGTATTGTCTCACAAAGCACAGCCTTTAAATTCTCTCTCATTATGGATGATGCTTTTCTGTGGATCAAATTTTTTTCTTTTTCAAATATAAAGCTATTCCTTGGAGTATAGCTGTCTGCAACTCACTATTTACTTTCTTGTAATATAAGCAAACTCTCTATGTGATAAATAAATTGGCTGTCTCTGTCCCTGTCAACTTCATAACTTATTTTCTGCCTTGCAGCCCTTTACCCCACTGATGCAGAATCACAAAATTGTCATTGTTTCTATGGCAAATGCTCAGACAAACTCCATTTTTTTAATTTTTGCCAATTCAAACCTTTACATCTAAGACCTGCCATGCTGCATCCATGGAACTGAACCACCCTCATTCTCTATGTATTACAATTGTAAGGAGGAAGTTCCATTCGTGGAACAGTTTTTCCCAAGAAATGCTGCTTTGTGGAACAGCCTACTACATGGATGTTTCCCAAACATTACAATCCTAATCTTTTCCAGTCAAGGTCAGTTGTTATCTATCCTTCATATCCACCTAATCTTCATTTTCTACTTCCTACTTTTACATTTATATCACACCTCATTCAGTAACAGTGTACCTTGAGTGGCTCTTGAGCCTTGTATTGAGTGGATATTAGCAAAAAAAAACAAAACAAAAAAAAACACAAATACAACTTCCAGTTGACTATTTGTACAGAATTCTATTCATAATAAATGACTAATCCTGAATATAAGACTGAATTCATTATTGTATTCTTCTACATAATATTACTAAAAAAAAATAAGGTCTACCTTAGGCAATGATCCTTAGTCTGCGTCAAAATATTCCCACATGATTTTTCACTCTTTTATCCCAGTATCCTTTCCACTTTTCCAGACATTCTGGTAAATCCTCTTTTAGGATTGACATTGGCTGTCTTGTATTCTTAATTTTACTTACAGCAGTGATTTCAGCTTGGGTAAAAAAAACCAAAAAAACAGAAGGTATAGGGAGGCAAATCTGAACTTGGTATATAGACTGACAAACTTAGGTGATGGGTTGTTTTACAAGAAAAGTTTGCATAAGACATGAAGAATCTGCTTGCTTGTTCATTGTGGATACAACAATAACACTACATTTGCTTAATCAATGTGAATAATCCCATGGAAGAGTTTCTGTTTATGCATGTGTAGCTAGGTCCCCTCAGTTGTTTGCCAGGTTACATCTTGGGTGTGCTACTAGCTCTTAATATGTTCAAAATTGGTGTTGTCATTTTGGACAGGCCTCATCCAACTGGCATGATCAATACCTTGCACCTTGTTTTTTGAGTAGGCACATACAGAATTAAGATAATTTAATACTCCACTTACCTTCTCATCATGTTTACCATATATATTTTATTTTACAGTTACCTGCACACACATGTAACCATGTTTTTTGTAGACAGAAATCTATGCAGTTAGAGGAAAAATAGGCTGACAACTGTTGAATAATAATCTAGCAGATATTTTAGAGAACTCTATTTCTCCTCTGACTTCCTCATTTTCATCTTTGAGGTCAGATACAAGAAAACAAAGGAACTTGTTTTTGATTGGCTAAAACTAGTGTTGGCATGTCAGGGAGTTATGTTGAACAATGTAGACATGTTATATTGTGTTTGGAAACTGCTTGCTCCCCAGTGGGGTGAGATATCAATCCCACTGGCTAGTTAGAAATATACATATCAACATGGTTAATAAACTAGTAGGATTTAAAATCCCTTTTGTTGATTTCTCTTATCTCTGAACTGAAAACCAATTAGTGATCACCCGGATGAGATAAGAGAGGAAGAAATCTTTATTATGGAATTGACCCCGTCACCAAGAGACCCGCCTAGCATGAAGGTGCAATACAACAACAACAACATCATTGAGTAGACTGGTAGACCTGTCACAGACATTGACACACTACTAAGAAATATGGAGAGAATTGTACAGGAGCCCTGAGACATGCATCTTGCCATAAGATTGTTGCTGCTGCTGTTGTTGTTGATGATGATGATAAAGAAGTATTATTATTTTTTTTTTTTTTATCAATAATGACAAGTCATTCCAAAAAATGATTCTACTAAAAATACTGCAAAATCAAATTTGAGAAATTGACTCAATATCATTTCTGGTGAGCATTCAAACATTTTGGCACCTTCTTGGCTGACAGTTTCTGCATGCCCAACTGATCATTTATTATAAATTCAATGTGTTCTCTGGATTTTTTTTGTGTCTTAGTATTTCTTTTGGCTGAGATTTTGTCAACCAGCCAAATTTAGGTGAGGAACATGATCACCAATTTTAGGAGTTGGCAAATTTTATAGTGTTGCATCTTGGATCACAAAACCTCCAGGCTGGAAGTTTGTATCCCATTTCTTAACAGTGCAGAATACACTCATGAATTTCTTTTCAAATTTTCTTCTACATGAACATGAGCTTCATAACAACTTGGAAAATTCCACAGTTTCTGTTGATATATTCAGAAAGAAATTAAAAATTAAATGGAAGTTTCTTTCAAATTAGGACTTTACAAGAACTTCTTTTACCATTTACAAAGACAAAAGAATGTTCAAATTTTGGAAAGTTGGCCAGGATGAGAACTTTTCAGCACTTTGTGTGTGTGTAATATAATATATATATATATATTATGAAATGGACTCAGTCCAACAATTATTTTTAATATATTATATTTAATTTATTTAATGTTTATATTTTTATAGATACAAATATTTAAGTAAATGCTCTGTTTATAATAACAGTATTAACAACATTTACCAGCTTGAATGTCCAAGAAATTTCATAGACAATATGTGTCTTCTGACAGTAATCGAAACTGTATCCTACATGGAACCGTCATATAGCCTGACGTGCTATACCATTTAGCTACAGAGGAAGCATCTGGTTAGCAAGGCCGAATGAAATTTCTTGAACATTCAGGCTGGTTAATGTTGTTAATACTGTTTATCATAAACGGATCATTTACTTAAATATTTATATCTATAAAAGTAATGTATAAATAGAAAATATTCATATATATATATATATATATATATATATATATATATATATATATATATATATATAAATGTATTTTCTATTTATATATATATATATATATATATAATTATAACAAAAACATGTTTATAAACTGCTACATAAATGCAAACATGTTTCATGTGGAATTAACCTACTTTACACTTGGAGATGTATATATATTAGGTAGGCAAAGATGTTTAAGTAAAAAGTTTTTCCCCATTAACATTATTTAATCACATATATAACATTTTGTTCTGCTATCTTTGAGGTAACTTTATAATTCCACCTTCTCAGAAATTTTTCCAAATTCTTTTCAATGAAAAAATTGGTCTTGGTGTCTCTTGTAATGAGGTGTTTTTCTTCCATTAAGAGATTTCTGTGAACACTAGAATTAATTGTAATTCAAAGATACAATATACTGTGAATATGGCAATGAATGTGGGGTGACTTCCAAGCCATAGTGTGGCATCACAGTTTTTGTCTGATGATCTCCAAGGTAATATGTAGTCAAGTATTATCATGATGGAATATTATGCCTTTTTCTTAATTGATATGGATGGATGCTTTGTTTGGTTTAATTTAGAGTAGTAATTGTACAACTAAATCATTACATTCTCGAAAAGGAGTTCATGGTTGAGAACTTCCTTCCAATCCTACTAAGTATGTAGCATCCTTTTTTGGTATATAAAAAAAAAAAAAACTGACCTTTGATAAGATTAGAATTGATTTACTTCACTTTCCCTATGTTTTCTTGATTTCTATATTGTATCTTATTTTCTTTCAGGATTAGTTTAAAAGACAGCATTTTAATTAGATTTAAGTCACAAATTTGTACATGGAAATACGATAATGTAAGAAGTCGGATATCAAAATGATTAACATAACTGAATTGTTGTAATCTTCAACAGATGATTAGGACATTTTGAGTATGTTGGCAATATGTTGCATTATGTTGGCTAATCTCAACTAATGTTATTATTTGATCACTGTCAGCTTCAGTTGGTTTACTCTTTTGCATTGTTCAGGACAGAACTTTGCAAACCACTTTTGACATGTTTGATTAGCTACAGTATCTTCTCCGTAAACTGCATAAATCATCTTTTTTGATGTTTTATCCACATTTTCACCTTTTTTTTTATTTAAATAACAAAAGCCTAATATGCAGCTTGTTTAAAGCTAAAATGAAACGCTTTTGATACTATCTGATAACAGACATAAGGCAAGCTTTCTTGTTAACGAAATACAGACATTAATTGGGTAAAATATAAAGAATTTTGTTTTATTTATTAGATTATGTATGGAAGCACATGCATTCAAACACTCAAGCTGTAATCAAGTTTGTACTTTTATGTTTCCCTGGTATAAGTTAATTAAATAATTTATATGTGAAAGTTGATTTTATTGTAATTTTTTTTCTCCTCCTTAAAGTTTTGTTAAACAGTCATTTTTATTATAGTTTTATTTTGACTATATAGTAAAATAGATCAATAAATTTGTAGGATATTCTTTTCAATCAATCATGACATTTTATTTTTTACTGTTAAGAATGTCATTTGATCTTATTGGTGCTTTATTGGCATAATGATGGAAACTAAACTTCTTTCATCTGCAAAGTTATTTCATCTGTCAGCCCTCATTACCATCAGTAGGTTTGTTTTCCATTGTTGGGAAAGACATGGTAAAATAATCAAATCAAAATAATTTCAGCCAATCTATGTCTGCTTCTAAAATGAGAAATAATTTTTGTGGATTTGTGATGACCAGATAAGTTGGCCATTTCACTTTACGCTTAGTAACAGTCAAATATTATTTTCTTGAGCTTGCAAGA